AAGTCGTACTTTCATGCCGAAGCTTTTTGTTAGTTTAACTAAGAATTTTCTATGAAAAAAGCCTAAGAGGATTATGGATAACCACAACATTTCATATTACCTCGAACTCCGTTATAAAGTTAATTAATAATTGTTTGCATACTTCAAGTACACCTAACTTTTTTTAGCCGGTTTTTCACACGATTTTGAAATAACATGTTTCCTGAAAGAGGGCAAATGCACTTTTTTTACACGATTTTTTTGTTCCCGAACGAATATTTAGACTTGAGAAATTGATTTTTTTCCTAGTATCAATTTAAACGCGCACTAATTTTAATTTATTTTTATAATAAAAATTAATTTTTTTCTTTTATAAAGTCCGATATGAATTTCATTATTACTTTTTTTTGAACGGATTTCTGGGAAAATATTTCGAAATTTTTTATCTTTTTAAAAGTTGTGAAATATATTCCCAAGTTTACCGCAACATCACGCATTTCACATATTTTTTAAAAGCTTTTTTTTGCACGGTTTTCTAAGAATCGCAGACGTGTAAAAAAAGAGTTCGATGTAACGGTTTATTAAAAGTTTTTAAAATCCTTTATAAACTTTATTTTACTCTTAACCGATTTGATTTTAGTAGCCGTTGTGTTAATCATCTAGTAATCTATGAACACTTAAGTAAATAAATCTTCTCACCGTCGAGGTATAACCAAATCTGCGACTATTCTACCACTCTCAGATTGTAAAAAGGTGTAGAAGCCAATCCGAAAGTTTCTAATATCCATAGATACTTTTAGCAGCGGATAAAATGGAGCAATGCTTAAACTCAAGCTGAAAACGTAGAATCGTCAAAAAAATAATCCGATTTTATTCGTTTCGCTATCATCAGCTTTAAAAACCACTTACACCGGTCCGCAGCTCCATCGACAGTTGCCAAATAACTCTATTTTTTGCTTTGTCATGCTCTCAAATTGTAGTACAGCTGCTTAAATAAAACCACGTTATTAAATTTAAAAATTATCTAAAATAAGGCGGGATACGTGAATAGGGCTTCTTATTTCCACACTTACCTGTAGCGCGTTGCCAAATTAAGTTTGCTGGTGGATATTAATAGATTCAAAGTAAGATGATTGTAACTCGTCTTTGACTTTAACTGTAGTACTCACTAATATGTTTATTATATCAATTACTGTTCTTTTCCATGCATCCTCAGGTATATTTACATATTTTTCATGTGTATTTTTAGCAATGATTTTCATTAATTTCTCTTCAGTATCTCATTATTATGTGGCGTTACTTTGACTATTCGGTAACTTTGAAAAAATTGCAAATAATATAACCCATGTGATAAATGTGCATCTTCTTGCTGGCGAAGACCGACAGGCATCTGACTTTTAAAATGAATTAAGCATGGGAACCGTAGTAAAGGACTAGAAGGAGGAGTTTTTTTGGGAAGGACGATAAAGAAATAATATTCGAGGAGGTTATGAAGCATATTTATATATTAAAAAATTTTTTTTAAAAATTGAGAAAATGCAACACTGGAACTATTCTCCTAAAACATAAAAATTGATGTAAATTTGAACATAAAAAATCATTAAATTTGCATTTCTTTAGCTAGAGAGCAATGTGAAGCGATTTCATAAATTTTAATTTTTACGCATTTGAATGAAAAGATTTAATTTTTAAATAAAGTAATATTTTACTAATAAATTATTACCTTACTGAAAAAAAATTTACGTACTTCTCTACGAAATTTTATTTTATTTATTTTTTTCAAAGATATAGTAGAACGGAGAGAATGAAAATTGTAAGAGTTGTTTCAAGTTTTGAAAAATCATGTTCCGAGAGAAATACGCTTAACCTAAATGCATGAATTTTTATTCTTCTGAAAAAAATGCAAAATCAACCGGTAAATGAGTGTAGTTAAGAGAGAAAAACTGCGTAAATATTTCTCTTTATTTTTCAAAAAAACATACTAACGTATTTCTACATCATCATGAATAATCACTCGTTGACTTTTACAAATCTACTGCGTATGATAATAAATTGCTTCAAGCGTAAATAACATCTCTGATTACGTGGAAATCCACGAAACAATTATTTTCAGTGTTTAAACATATAGAAATATTGCATTTGCTACATGACCACTTCGCGATACACTTAGATAAGGGAATTTTACACGTCAACCTGTTTGAAAATATAAACCCCAAATATAGGCCATCCCCTTTTTGTACATTCAGAGACGGGAAAGGATGAGACGACCCTCTTTAATAAGCTATTACTCTCTCCTTTTTTGGTGCCGTTTATATAAGAACGTCTTTGCAAAGAGTGTCAGCCAAATATTGCGTAACCAAAATTTTGTAGTTGTTTGTTTGGCATGCCCTTTGCAAAGGAGATTTTGTTCATAAGTATCGAATAGACAAAGATACCATCTGCGGCCTGTAGGTCTTACAGGACAGTAACTCTTATAGCTCTATACAGACAGTAGATCTTATAGCTGAGCAGATATCCATCCAATCCACTGCTCCTAAGTGCATGTTGTACGCTTACAATATTTTTGGTCAGGAGATATCGGTCTTTTGCATTGCGCTGGAAAAGCACGCCGAAGTGCGCTATTAATAATAATGGGCTTTTGGGTATCAAAGAGACGAGGTAGAACCGTAGTGCAGGAAACGCAAGCAAAACAAGCAAAAACACTTCCCCTATTCGTCATATTTTTCGTAAAAGCCCCCAAAACGTCAGTCGACGTGATCCGGACTTAGCAAACTTTATTTGGTAAGACTTTATTAGTAGGTGCAGGTATATTAAATATTATATAAAATTTGTGCAGATATATGTAGCACCCAAAAAGCCTTAAGATAGACTCATATCTTGTTGTGCTGATCAGCTTAGAATCATATTGGGAATCATTCCCTCCTTAACAGAACTAAGTTTGTGTGTCATTCTGCCCAGTGATATTTGCTCATCTTGTTCAACCTACAGATCGTAATTTTTGATATACTTTGATGAAATTTAGTACCTTGGCACGCAAAGGTGAACGCTATTGCATACGGATTGAGTCACAAGGCTTTTTCGACCACTCTCCATCGAACATCTTATTTTGATATGTCACTCTAAATGAAAAAGCAACTTTTTCAGAATTCGTCGACCAAAAATTGCGGAATTATGATATTTCGGTATAGTAAATTGATTTGAAAATTTTGATTTGAGATTTTTGAACTGTCCCATACAATGGTTTACCAAAACTGAATCTTCTTGTAGAGAGAATGTCCGATATTTGATGCTTTATGATCAAAATTGCTTCAAAAGAATAGTTTGATGTAAGACTTAACAGTACCAAATTTGGATCAGGTAGGTCTATTCTTTGCCATCGTCGCAAATAGTATGTAATCCATGCAATGTAATCAACATAAAGTAAACACTTAAGACGCTTTTCTTTAGTAAATATTAGTAACCATAAGCAACTTTTAACTATAAAACGTGGCCTTATGATCCAGGTTCCTCCTACTTAAGTGGTCATCAGAAAATGTGCGTTTCGATACGCTTTATTCCGGCCACAGTAGCCCTGGACAATTAGTTCTCTCGTTTCTGGACTATTTTTACATTTTTTGCTTTTTTTTGAGCTTATTATCGTTTCCTTATTACTAATTTTATATGGGGATCCTGTTATAACAGAACTCGGATGAAAAACAAACTTTTGTATGTGAAAAACGTCCCCTTTTTAATGTTGTTTAATAAATATTTGTTCTTGTGACCCGTTCCTTATATATACAGCAGCAATTTGGCATAACAATTAATAACAGAAAATTTCCAAACTAATCATATATAGGGATTTTCATAAAAAGTAAGACCTTAGAGGCCGCTAATGTCTTTTACTTTACTTACTTTTTTGTGACGAAAACATGCAAAAAAAGTACAAAATCTTTGCCGCGTAAACTATATTTGGTAAATTTGGTTAGTTGGTGTTTTGAGCACCATCAACTTTTGGATTATCGGAATAGTAAATGAATAGCGGTATTAGGCGAATTTGCGTAGGGTGGTGAATAGTAAACTTGCCCGACTATAATGCTTTTGCCTGCTTGTTAAATCAAATTGTCCGAATTTAATTCTGTCATATCAGTAAATTGTGTCTCTTACGATTTTTTCCATTTTTATTCCATTATACTCAATAAAATAAATTAGTTTAATTGAAAAAATGAAGCTCATTCTATTCTTTGCCGTTTTGCTCGCACTTTTTTTAACCACATTCTCGTCGACGGCGGTAGTTTATAGCAATAGTTGTGAGTTAATTCGTTTTTTTTCTAAAATGTTTGTAGGGTCCTTCATTTAATTATGGATTTTAGCACATAACGGACTTTGCGTGATTGATGACATCCATCCTAAAATAATTTTGAAACCTGGTGAGAACCAGAAATTGCCGCCTTGTGGAAAAATAAGTTGCAAAAAGTCTGGAGTGGCTCTTATTACGGGGTAAGCATTGTGTATTATAAGAACATTTATGTCCATTGTTAAGCATTACATCAACGTCATCATTACAAAGATACCGAATAATAAAAGTAAGCGTAAATTGATTAGGATTCTTCTTGAGACCCATACAGTTGTGGTTTGCTAATTCAGAATTTTGGAAATTTTTAATTTTAGCTGCAGTATCGAGACTCCGCCCGAGGACTGTTATTTTGATGGCTACGCAAACCTTGATGCACCATTTCCCTATTGTTGCATAAAAAGGGTGTTTTGTTAAATCTGCTTTGAAAATAAAAAGGAAAATAATGTTCCCTTCATAGACATTTTATATTCTCTTCTGAATTTTTAAAGAAACTATTATTCGTAAATCAAATGCAAATCAAATTTTTATGTAAGGACTATATAGCATGTTAAAAAAGGGAGAAAGAATACCCCTGTCCATCCGAAATTCCAGATATTTATCGGAAAAGTGTGTCAAAGACAGCTCACGTATGCTTTCAGGTCTAAAAGCAGCTCGATTTCTAAGGAGATAAACATTTCTGGTGTGTTCGTTACCCTCGACATGGCAAAGCAATGTGACTGAGATCTGTTAAATGGCAAATAAAACAAAAACTCTGTTAAAATGACAAAGCTATACAAACAAACAAATCAATTGGACAACAAACAGTAGCAAGAGTAAAATAAAGCATATATATATAAATAAAAAATATTATTGCTTTTCTTTCTTTTTTTAACTTTATTGGAAATAAAATGGTTGTGTTCATAAATTGAAAATAAACTGAGACGCAACCAAATGGTTGTGTTTATAAATTGATAACACGCACACTCACAATGTTCTTTAACAATGTAAGCCAACAAAGTTAATTTCGGGTACTTGCCAGCATTTTTAAATACACGAGCGAGCGTACGTAATCTGATCATCGCACCCCAGAGTAAGAAAATATTAAGGTGTTTCCTATTTGCTATATTATTGTTTTTATATTTCTTTGGTTATTAAATTTAGATTATTGGGCGACTTTTTTTCTTTATTTAACATAAACATTTACAAATGGATTTTTCTTTCTTTGTTTCTGGAAAATT